TGGGGTGGGTAGCCTATCCCTTCTCCAGGGGATCTTCCCGACCCAGGAATTGAACTGGGATCTGCTGCATTGCAGGGGGATTATTTACCAACTGAGCTAACATGGAAACCAAAAATCTGACACTTGTGACTCAAATAACAAGCTCCTTATTGCAAAATTCAGGCTTAAATTGAAGAAAGTATGGAAAACCACGATGCCATTCAGGTATGGCCTAAATCAAATTCCTTACAATTGATTATACAGTGGAGGTGACAAACAGATTCAAGGGATTAGGTCTGATAGACAGAGTGTCTGAAGAACTATGGATAGAGGTCTGTGATATTGTACAGGAGGCAGTGACCAAAATAATCCCAAAGAAAAAGAAACGCAAGAAGGAAAAATGGTTGTCTGAGGAGGCCTTATAAATAGCTGAGAAATGAAGAGAAGCAAAAGGCAAAGGAGAAAGGGAACTTATACCCAACTGAATGTAGAGTTCCAGTGAATAGAAAGGAGAGATAAGAAAGCCTTCCTATGTGAACGATGCAAAGAAACAGTGGCGAACAATGAGAGAGACTAGAGGTCGCTTCAGGAAAATTACAGATACCAAGGGAATATTTCTTGCAAAGATGGACACAAAAAAGGACAGAAATTGCAATGACCTAACAGAAACAGAAGTGATTAAGAAGAGGTGGCAATAATACACGGAAGAACTACACAAAAAGAGCTCTTAATGGCCTAGATAACTATGATGATGTGGTCACTCACCTAGAGCCAGATATTCCTGGAGTATGAAGTCAAGCGGGCCTTAGGAAGCATTACTATGAACAAAGTCATTGGTGGTGTTGGAATTCCTGTTGACCTATTTCAAATCCTAAAAGATGACGCTGTTAGAGTGCTCTATTCAATATATTAGCAAATTTGGATAACTCAGCAATGGCCACATGACTGGAAAATGTCAGTTTTCATTATAATTCCAAAGAAGGGCAATGCCTAAGAATGTTCAAACTACCATACGATAGCGCTCTTTTCATGTGCTAGTGAAGTAATGCTCAAAATCCTTCAAGCTAGACTTCAATAGTATGTGCCCTGAGAAATTCCAGATGTATAAGTTGGATTTAGAAAAGGCAAAGGAACCAGAGATCAAATTGCCGACATCTGCTGGATCATAGAAAAAACAAGGGAATTCCTGAAAAAACATATACTTTGCTTCATTGACTATGGTAAAGCCTTTGACCGTGTGTATGACAACAAACCGTGGAAAATTCTTAGATATGGGAAGACCAGACCACCTTACCTGCCTCCTGAGAAACCTGTATTCAGGTCAAGAAGAAACAGTTAGCACTGGACATAGAACAACAAATTGGTTCAAAACTGGGGAAGGAGTACCCTGACCCTGTGTATTTAATTTATATGCAGAGTACATCATGCAAAATGCCAGGCTGGTTGAATCACAAGCTGAATTAAGATTGCCAAAAGAAATATGAACAACTTCAGATATGCAGATGATACCATCCTAATGGCAAAAATTGAAGAGGAACTAAAGAGCCTCTTGCTGAAAGTGAAAGAGCACAGTGAAAAAACTGGCTTAAAACTCAGTATTAAAAAAACTAAAATCATGGCATCCAGTCCCATCACTTCTTGACAAATAGATAGAAAAAATGGAAACAATGACAGATTTTATTTTCTTGGGCTCCAAATCACTACAGATGGTGACCACAGCCATGAAATTAAAAGACAGTTGGCTCCTTGGAAGAAAACTTATGAGAAACCTAGACAACATATTAAAAAGCAAAGACATCACTTTGCTGACAAAGGTGCATATATTCAAAACTATGGTTTTTCCAGTAGTCACATACAGATGTGAGTTGGATCATAAAAAGGATGAATGCTTAATCTTAAGACTGATGCTTTCAAATTGTAGTTCTGGAGAAGACTCTTGAGAGTATCTTGGACAGCAAGGAGATAAAACCAGCCAATCCTAAAATAAAATCAACCTTGAATATTCATTGAAAGGACTGATTCTGAAGCTGAAGCTCCAGTACTTTGGCCGCCTGATGCAAAGAACTGACTCATTGGAAAAGACCCTGATGCTGGGAAAGACTGAGGGCAGGAGGAGAAGAGGATGACAGAGCATGAAGTGATTGGATGTCATCACCAACTCAATGGATATGAGTTTGACCAAACTCCAGGAGATAGTGAAGGACAGGAAAGCCTGCTGCCAGTGCGATTTCAAGGAACTGGACACGACATAGCAACTAAACAACAATGATTCCTAGATATCTTATTTGTATTTTTTTGGTTGATTTTACTTGGTTATGTATGATTGTTGTTATGTTTTGTTGCATTTGGTTGGGTAATATGTTGTTGAGAATTCTTGGACCTATAGTCTTCAAAGATATGGCCTTTAATTTTCTGTTTTGGTGATATCTTTGGTTTTCATATTAGGGTAATGGTGGATTCATAAAATATCTTTGGGACTGATCCCTTCTCTCCAATAGTTTGAAAGTGTTTGAGAATGATTAGTATAATCTCTTCCTTGTATATTTGTTAGAATTCACCTGTGAAGTCATCTGGTCTTGGACTTTTTTGTAGGGAGTTTTTTTGGTTTTCTTTCTTGTTTTTTAAATTACAGATTCTATTTCATGTCTAGTGATTGTTTTATTTAAATTATTTATTTCTTCTTGATTCAATTTGGTGGGCTATCTGTTTCTCAGACTGTTCATTTCTTCCAGGTTTTTTTTCAAAAAATTTGTTGTCATATAATTGCTCATAGAATTTTCTTTTCTTATTTCTGAGATATCAATTGAGATTTCTCCTTTTTCAGTTTTTCTTTTTTGAGGTTCTCTTTCCTTCATGGTGAACCTGGCCAGAGGTTTGTCAATTTTGTTAACCCTTTCAAATAATCAGCTCTTGGTTTTTTGTATTTTTGTCCTGTTGTTTTTTCTTTTAATATCTATTTATTTCCTCCCTGATCTTTGTTATTCCCTGCCTTTAGATGACCTTGAGTTTTGTTTGTTCTTTATCTAATTATTTTAAGTGGTCTGTTTGGTAGTTTGAGTTTCTCTTGGCTTTTGGTTTTGTTTTGTTTTTTGAGGAAGGCCTTAATTGCTATGAACTACCAAGAAATGGTTCTGCTGCATCCCATAGAATTCATATGGTTGTGCTTCATTTTCTTTTGCCTCAAGGTATCTGTTAGCTTTTTTTAAATTTTTCTTTTTAATGTTTTCATTGAGCCATTTATTTGGTAGCATGTTATTTAGTCTCCATGTAATTATTTTTTCCTTATTTTTTTTCCTGTGGTAAATTTCTGGTTTCAAGCTGTTGTGGTCAGAAAAGATGCTACTACTAATTTATGCTATGCTAATAAATTAATTTATTTGGTTGTGCTCAGTCTTCGTTGCTATGCAGGCTTCTCTAGTTGCAGCATGCAGGGGCTACTGTTCCTCGTAGCGCACAGGCTTCTCACCGTAGTGGCTTTTCTTGTTGTGCAGCATGGGATCTAAGGCACATGGGCTTCAGGAGCTGTGGTGCATGGGCTCAGTAATTGTGGTTTCCATGCTCTAGACCACAGGCTCAATGATTGTGGCTCACAGGCTTAAATGATCTGCAGCATGAGGATCTTCCCAGATCAGGGATCAAATCCATGTCTCCTGCATTGGCAGCTGGATTCTTTACCACTGAATCACCAGGGAAGCCTCTACTATTTTTTTTAAATAACAGTTTTTGCCATCTATTTAACTCATCTTATGCTTTATTATAAACAGATCAGGAAGCTTTAAAACTGAAAAATCATTTTGTAATGATGCTCTAGGAAACTAAGTCATTAAATAGATCAGTGGCTCTTACCCACTGGTACATGAGAGAATCACTGGAAGAAGGTCTTCCACTCAAATTCCTGAGGCTCACATAGTATATTCTAATTCTCCTGGTCTGAGATGGACACAGACTGAACTTTATGGATAATATTAATAAAGGCAATAAGTGATTCTAAAGCAGATATACTGTCTACTCTATAAACAGTGACATCGATTGAAGATTTTGCATTTTCTTAGGATTTAGAGGTACTACATTCCTGTTTGGTGGAACAAAACAACACTGGAAACTTTATAATGCTCATTAAGTTAACAAGTGAATGATTTTGAGCACCTGTGTGCTTGACAATATCCTTCATTCTACAGGTGCAGATATTGACCTTTCTCTCATGAAACAACAAGAAACTTGGCAAATATTATGGTGCACAAGGTTATCAAGTATGAATGGTGTAGAGGTCTGATGAGCATAATACATTTTCCCTCATCAATGTATTGTCTAGGACGATTGAACAGAAATTCCAAGATGGAGAAAAGAAAGGATATCAAACATTTTTTTTTTTGTTCCAGATGAAGTCAGGTTGAGGGAAGCAGCTCTTAAAAACTGGTTGACTTTTTCCGGGATTATAAAATATAGTTCTTACAGGGATTATATTTTAACTTAAAAAATGCCTCTTTGCAGGTGCATCACTGAGATTGTTTACAGCTAGAAGGAAAACTCTGCCCTCTATCTGGTGGACTGAAACTGCCCCATCAACTTTTTTAGAGAACATAGAACTTCTTTATTTCTGAGACTGTATGCAAGAGGGTTCAGGAGAGGGGTAAGGACAGTCCCAAAGAGAAAGAGACCCTGGTTCAACTTTGGAGTCTTGGCAGAACCAGGCCTCATGTAGACGCACATACCTGGACCAAAATAGAGACCCACCACACAGAGATGAGAGGAGCAAGTGGCCAGAGTCTTGTTCCTGCCTTCTGGGGAGTTCATTCGGAGTACAGCAAGGAAGATGAGAACATAGGAGGACAAGATGAGAGATAAGGGCAGCAGCAGGACTAGGATACTGGTCACCACTACAGCCTTCTCATAGGCTGAGATGTCCTCACAGACAATCCTAAGAACAGCCATGACTTCACAGAAGAAGTGAGGAATCTCTCTGGGGCTGCAGATGTGAAAATGTAAGGTGAAAGCAGTGTGGCCAAAGGAAGTAAGGGCACCTCCAACCCAAGACATGGCAGCCATCTGCCAGCACATCCTAGGACTCATGATGACAGGGTACCGCAGGGGATTGCAGATGGCCACATAGCGATCAAAACACATGACAGTTATAAGGATGCATTCTCCAATGGCTACTGTCAGCGAGAAAAATATTTGAGTACCACAAGCCAGGAATGATATGCCTTGCCATCCAGAAAAGAAGTTGGCCACCATCTTGGGTATGATGCTAGAGGTCAAAGTCAAATCCATTGAGGAGAGCTGACTGAGCAGGAAGTACATGGGGGTATGGAGCCGGGAGTCCAACCAAATGAGGAGGACCAGAAGAGTGTTGCCAATGAAGGCAGCCATGTAGATGAGAAGAACAATGGAAACCAAAGCTGTGATGTATCTAAATTCAGGGAAGAGTCCCAGGAGGATGAAATTTGTGGATTCTGTCTCATTCCCTCTGCACATGACTCTCTGCAATGACAACACAAAGGGAGGAGATTTGTTAAAAAAAAAAAAAAAAAGAGTCAGTGCTGAAACAGTTTTTTAAAGTTTGTGTAAAATAATTTATAACAAAAATGGCAAGCATAAAATTGTTTATCCATGATGATCTGCATCAATTCTTAACACTTTTTTTTGGTAACCCTGAACCATGATATAACGTATTTTAGAAACCAGGGTGTAAGTTTTTAAATGTGACTCATTATCATTAATGTTTGAGATATATTTTCTTATATTAAGAACAATTTTTGATCATTACAGTTTTTTCTTTAGAATGATAATGTTTGTTATTGGGTTGAGAAATCACAGTCACCACTTACACATTTTCAGGTTTTTGCTGTTTTTAGAAAATGATATTTCCATTTTTATCTTTTCAATGATTTTCTTAGCAATATTTTTGAGGAATAATTTACATTTATTTCCAGGTCATATAATATACTCTTTATTTGCTCATGAAAAATAGTATTAATTTAATTTATACAGGATTTAAAAAATTTTTAATGCTCCTGCTTAATCAAAGCTTCTGGATTTGGACATTATAAACATACAAATAAACTGGTCATTAGGACTGTGTTTTGTGTTATGTACATTTAAGGTTATTTTAAGCTTTTGATCTAATCAACCCTTCTTTATACTCTGGCAAATAAACGCACTATGTCTACATGGTTTCAATACAATAAATTCATACCAAGTGTCAATAAGTGAAAAAGGTATTTCTACATGAACTCACAGGGTTCCTGATACTGTAAAATTCATATTACCTAAAACTAGTTATAATATTTATGTGCATGATTGGCACAGAGAAATTTTAGGGCTCCTTTCTCTCAGGCTTAGGAACTTTTTCTTTTAAGACTCTCTGAGCTGTATACAATCCTTCTCCTTGATACCTGTATAACCCTTTAAATTCCTAGACATACTCCTGCTGGGGTTACAAGAGGACATGTACTCATCTTGTAAACAAGTTGAACTCATGAAAATAGTTTTAAAAATTCTAAAAAAGATCAAAGTGACTCTAACAGTGTATTAAAACCTCATAATTGTCCAAATTTAATGTAAGCACAATTAACATTAGAATGTTTATAAAGTAAAAACAGATGTATCTAAGCATTTGAACAGATTAAAGAAAAAAGTTTACACATTAGAACAAAAACTTGATAAAATTAATTACTAAATACTGATTTAAAAGCCACCCTAACTATTAATAACTAGTTGTAGAGTAAGATATTCTAATATCCTATTCTATTACTTTCCTGCCAATCTGTGACATTCATTTACTAGTGGAATTACTGAAAATACTATCTCTAAGGGGCTTCTCAGGTAGCTCAGTGGTAAAGAATCTGCCAGCCAATGCTGGAGACACAGGAGATGCCAGTTCGATCCCTGGGTAGGGAAGATCCCCTAAAGGAGGAAACAGTAACTCGCTCCAGTATTCTTCCCTGAAAGATTCCATGGACAGAGGAGCTTGTTGGACTACAGTCCATGGGGTCACAAAGAGTCTGACATGGCTGAGTGATTGAGCACACACACACACACACATCGTCTCTAAATTGTTAAGCTAATTCTTTCTTCATAGGTGTGCATTGTATATGTGTCAACATTAACAGCAACATCCAAGTTTCCTTTACTTTTTGCAAGAAGTCTTTTTGCAGAGAGTCTTTCCCCCTCTAACACAACATTCCCTTCTCAGAAACAGTGAACTCAAACATTAGGTCATTGTATACAACTCAATGGACATGAGTTTGAGCAAGCTTTGGGAGACGGTGAAGGGGCTTGCTGCAGTCCATGGGGTCACAAAGAGTCAGATACAACTGAGCGACTGAACAACAATACATTTCTAATCTTGTGCAATTTTACCTCAACTCCTGGCTTCCATCCAGATATTGCTTTAAATTTGTTCATCAAAAATAATGATAAGTTTTTAATGCAGGAATTCTGATAACAAAAATGGTCTAAGTCTGTTCTCCCATTGATCAATCACTAAAAGCCTTCATTCTTGTGAAGAACTAGCTGAACTCTGTCAGCTGGCACTGCCAGAGACATCTATCTTTACATATCCAACTTTTATTTGAGCATACTATGTTGATTACCTTCAAACCAGGAAATCACAGTTAATCAGGGCCTTTCTCCTTGGGTGAATGTCTTGATGAGTTAGCCTTATTTTAGATGTGTACAGTTTGAGATTCTAAAAAATAAATTTAATAACAAAAATGGTCAGCATTTATCTTATTCTCTCCTGCCTTAAAGGGAGCCTTCATGCAGTCAGGGCATTGTTTGTGGTTCATCTAGAGTCATCAGATGGTGAGAAACTGAGATTTCAGACAGGCCAGATCTTTGAAATTGTTCTGACTTTGTAAATAAGAAAGCAGGGTTCTGTGATGTAACTGCTTGTTTCACATCATCCTACTTCTAGCACAAGTGTTGCTTTCCTACTTGGCTAGATTCAATTATAAATTCTCACTCCAAATTCCATTCATCACAGTCTGAATTTAAACCTATATTTCATCATTGTTGCGGTCACATGTGTTAATATGTATCTCACCCTTTAAGTCATAAAATCTGTGATGGAAGGAACTATATTTGCTAAGTTCCACCTTTTCTCTCTAGATCTGACATGTTGCCTTCAGTGAAAATAAGTTAGATACACTATCAATTCAGGATTGGAATACAGGTCTTAGAACTCTGGATTTAATTCCTGTATCAAAACAGAAGCTTACAGGACAAAAACCATTTTTCTACCTAACAGAATTATTTTGTTTTGCCTTTATGATCCCTCATTGACTTCAGAGCATTTTGCAGCATTTTATCTGGTTGGACTATATGGGAAGAGGGTCATCATTGCTATGTCCACTTGAGAAATAATATCCATAAATGACTAAAGGACACACAACTTTGTTAGTCACATAGTTAAATAACACTTTCTTGCTGCTGCTGCTGCTGCTAAGTCTCTTCAGTCGTGTCTGACTCTGTGCAACCCCACAGACGGCAGCCCACCAGGCTCCGCCGTCCCTGGGATTCTCCAGGCAAGAACACTGGAGCGGGCTGCCATTTCCTTCTCCAATGCGTGAAAGTGAAAAGTGGAAGTGAAGTCGCTCAGTCGTGTCCAACTCTTCGCCACCCTTGGACTGCAGCCTACCAGGCTCCTCCGTCCATGGGATTCTCCAGGCAAGAGGACTGGAGTGGGGTGCCATTGCCTTCTCCAACACTTTCTTACTCATTAATAATTATCTGCTTAACAAGATTGAACCCTACAAATATTATTTACAAATAACTATAGAATTAACATTAGGAATGGATTTTTCACAATCAGAAAAAACTGGACTGTTTCTCTATCAAGATGCTTACCTTGAATTTGTGTTCAGTCATAAGTTCTTACAAAGTGTAAAATATTAAAAATTCCTTTGGCCCAGTGACTCTGATTATACCGTTTAAAAAGAAAAGTAAACTATTCAGTAGGAAAATATAGGTAATTGAGTATATCTTGATAAGCTGTCTCTCCTCAGCCAAAGTTGTAAGCAGGACTGGACTGTCCTGGACCGGACTCCACTCTTCCTCAGTGGCCTGGGATTCAGCCTAGAGTGGCCAGTCTCTCTGAGCGTTGCTGCTTCCTGACTCAGCCCCACCAACTGCTCATTAAGGGCTGAGGTACCTATATTATCCAGGGTGAAACAGATCACCAGCCCAGGTAGGGTGCATGAGACAAGTGCTCGGGCCTGGTGCACTGTGAAGACCCAGAGGGATCGGGTGGAGAGGGAGGTGGGAGGGGGGACCGGGATGGGGAATACATGTAAATCCATGGCTAATTCATTTCAATGTATGACAAAAACCACTGCAATGATGTAAAGTAATTAGCCTCCAACTAATAAAAATAAATGGAAAAAATTAAAAAAATAAAAAATAAAAGATTTAATAATTTAAAAAAAAAAAAAAAAAGGGCTGAGGTACCCAGGTGTAGTGGCCTAAAGGAATCTTCTCTCCAGGATATAATTAGTGTTTTTTGAAACTACCCACTAGCTACATACTCTGAATTTTTTATTTGTTTTCCTGTCAACACCACCATCATTTCCCCAGAGTTCCAACTTGTGCTTTTCATGGTAATCATTAATTTCATACAACCATTAAGCAAGTTATTGATTTCTCTTTTCTAACAATTCTTATTTTCTCCTGCATTTCTATTCATAGGACCCTCACTCTAGACCTATTTCCCCTGTGTAGAATACCACTTTTTCTTATCTTCTTAGCTGAATTCTCCCTTTTCTTCAAGGTCAGATATGTCTTGTCTCTGCATCAAAATCTACCTTTATTTCCACAGTGAATATCAGCATATTTTCATTAGTTAATTACAGTTCTCTCTCTCTCCCTTGGCTTATCATACCTACAGCACACTGTTAAATGATTTTTTCCAACTCTCTTACAATTAACAGTGGGATATAAAGATATGGAAGCCTAGGATTTTGCCTCAGTCCTCATTATATTCCCTCCTTTTTTGTCCTTCTTTTTCATAAATTATCTTATTCTTAGTAGGCACTGACTTAACACTATTAATTAAATTTCTATTTCATTAAAATCAACAAAAGCTGTACTATATGCTGAAAACTGAAATAGAAAAATAATAAATGTAGTAAGATCTGATCAAGTGGGGAAACTGATTTATGAAAAAAAAAAAAGATTATGATATGACTGATTAGTACCACAACAAAATTATGTAGAAATTGCTATGGTTCCATAAGTGAGGGAGGATTAAGTTGTCTAGATGGATAATTGGTAGATGATTAAAGGATGATTTCATGTGTATAATAACATCTGAATTGAATTTTAAAGAATGAGTAGGGGAAAAAAAGAATAAGTAGGAATGAATGAAAGTAGAAATGAGGAAAATTTAAGCATGGGAAGCTGCTTCAAAGCAGATGGACTAACATGGTTTTTATGGAAAAACTTAATCATCCATAATTTTGATGGATATAGAAGCT